GCATTTCTGTATGCAAGTGAGCCACATTGAGAAGGGATGAAGAGCTACAGTGCTGCTACCCAAAACCATTCCGTCTCACCCACTCCATAGCCCACATCCCTTCCCTTTCAGATTTAGAAAGTTATTCTCTGCATTTTCTTCATCTAAGCATTTTTCTTAATCCTGCAATTTTTCGTGGCTACTTTCTGCAGTGCCTCTTGTCTACAAGAGAACGTAAACCCAAGGAATATATTTTTCTAGGTTACGCCCTCCCCACTCTATTTGATGGCTTTCCTTAGGCTCGTAAGACCTGCTCCAAACTCCTCCAAAATCAGTTGCAGTCTTTGCTTGTTTTAGCCAGTTTTAGAGAACACAGAGAGTGAAGAATGACTCCTAACCTTTTCCCAAGCCCTTCCCTAGCTGGAGGGCTTTCTTGATTGCAGGGTAAGAAATACAACAAGTATTGCCTATGACTGGGCTACAGGCAAAAAACACTAAAAAAACCAATAAATCCAAACTCAAACTATTTCACACAGACAAGAAGCTTAATGAGTGCCAGGCATACACAAATTGCAGTTGTCAAGTTGAGCAGTGCCATGTCCAGCACCAGGCAGCTTCTGGTTGCTGTGACAGCCTGATCAGCAGACTGGCCGAGGCATCGAGGTTAAAGGCTGTACATTAGATAGATAAGGCTACCTTAGAAGTTTCCCTGCAGCATCTCATTTGGTTGATTTCTCATCCAAGGTGTAGGGGTTTGATTCTCAGAATTCTCCACTTAGAGAGGGCTTAATAACTTAAGCACCAAGGAATGGCTTATCTGCTGAGAGGACCTGATCGCAGCGAGGTAACACAGCAGACTTGAGGTTGCTCTCACTTACTGCAGTGCCAGCCTATGGCCCAACAGGCACAGTGCTCCCCAGTAACCTACAGCTCTTGTCTTACTGCTTAAAATTGTGCATTTGGTGCAACTGTGCCTGGTACATGAAAGAAGAGCAGGACTGGGCTACTGGTGAGTGAGATCTGCTTTTAAGACACACCTGCTGCCCCAAGCAGGGGAAGAAAAATGCAGAAGCAGAGTACACTTATGGAAAGGAAACACATGAGATTAAAGACATAACACAGTTTCCACAGAGGCAAATCAAATTAAAAAAAAAAAAAAGATACTTTAATAGACCTAAATATCCTCCCTGATAATGAAAGGAAAAAGCAATGTATTATATTGAAAAACAAGTCTAATAAACAGTAACTTCATTATATGGTGCATCATTAGCTAGTAAAAGTCTTCATGGGCTACAAATAGAACAAAATGTTTCTGCTTTTTCCTTTTATAACGCTCAAAGCTCACTAATGTGCCACAACTCTGGTAATAAACAAGACCACACAATAAGGTTTAGATCTTCAAAGGCAACTAGGAGGCTGTGGGAGCTCTGGGTCTCAGAAGCAGTCCCTTACAGCTCCTTATGACAAGGCTTACTATGAACTTATGAATTTATTATCAACTTACTATCATGCACTGCTGGCCACTCTTGGAGACAGGTAGGCCTTGCAATCCTCCATAAAGAAGTACATAGCTTAACATCTTGTTCACCCAGAAAGCAGCTCTAAAATACTACCAGGAGGCTGCTAGTGTCTAGGTATACATTAGACAGCTCCAAATCTCCTACCTGAAACCTGATTGTGGCTGGCTATTTCCTTGGAAAACCATGACCTCATGTAACAAGAGGTCTTTGCTTCTGAGCGCTAATCTCTGGCTGCTGCGCTGAGATGGCTCCCAAGGTGAGGAAAGGCAGCAGGGATCTGAACAAGACCCCCCAGGTGCCAAAGGCAGCTCCTGCCTAAGACAGGTGAGAACAAACAGGCTGGGAGAAACAGACTGAGTGATGAGGCTGACAGAAAAAGGCTGCTGATAGTGTGCCCCAGAACATCTGTTTACTGTGTAATAGCTATTTACAGCAACATGCTAAGTGGCACTCTGCTGAAGTGTGTTTGTATTTGATTTCTTTGATTACTCTGTTTCCTGACTCAGGTTTGCTAGATCAGCTCTCCCTGTTAAGTGGAGTTGGTTACAATCACCTGAAAATCCATCTCCTGGTCCATTGTAATGTATGGCCTCAGCCTCACCTTTTGCTAGAGGGGTGTATATTAAACCACCTGCACTGTATTTCAATTTCTACTTTACTGACTTTGAACAGAATTGTGTTCTTTGGGAGTCCAAAATAACTCCCGCTGAAGCCAGCACAGAGGACGTGATTTGGCCATAGTGCACTCCTCTGCATTTCTAAAATCCTGGTGTTCCTTTCTCCTGCTCTGCTTAAGATCAAATTGATGTTTATCTTCTCAGAGCTCCTCCACTGCTAACTACCTAAATAATAAAAATATTGGGCACACAATAGTTAACGTGAATGAGCTGTGGCTTGAAATAGCAGGTAACAGATGGAGACAAAAGACAGCGACTATCCTGACGCTTCTATCTTTAAATGTTTGTTTATGCTAAAAATACGCTTCAGCCCAGCAAGCTTGTCTTTGGATGTAACCTTCACTGTAAACTTAACCTATACTTCAGAACCTCTCCCAGCCCAAAAGCCAAATGTCACAGACATTTTCTGACATCGTCAGGAGTTCTGGGATCAGAATCTGGAAGGCTGGGTTTAAGATTAAAAAAAACAACTGAAAGCTTCCCAAATTTTATTTCCTAACTGCATTCAGTTAGCGCGTGTCTGTCTGCTTCCCATTGATGCCAAACACAACATTCCTGGGTAGGTGGGTGCGAGTCCTACCCCCACCACTGGGCAGAGGCTCAGGAGGGCAGACCTCTGCGGTGATGCACGCCCCAGCAGCTGTTTGCCTGAGCAAGGATCATGGACCCTGCTGCACGAATAATCACCTACACGCCAAGGGTGAGATCCTATACCTGATGGAAAGATCAGTGCCACCATGTGCATAAAATAGACCTCCCACCATGGTACTAACTGTTCCTCTTATGCCTCTTACACCAAGACATTCACGACCTTAATTTAGACTGTATTTTTATACTGCTGTGCAAATGTATGAGGGATAATTCTGGAATAACGGGGTTGGCTTGGAAAATGTTGCTGGAGATGGTTACTTGCATGCAGATTACGCTGTCTTTCCAAAATACACATCAACTTCACCTTTTTTTAATATATATGTTACATATACACCACAGGCTCAATTTTCCCATATTGGTGCTTCTCTTCATGCTCGAACTCCTTACATCTACAGAGTCCCTGAAGAAGCAAAACAGTTTTTTCTGATATTGAACATAATGTATGGGATTCTTCCCCAGCTGCTGGCTTACAGGTGTGTCAACAAGCCAGAGTTTTTTATGAAAACAAAGCAAGAAGAAAAAACGGAATAGCACAACTGTTTTCAGCTCCTCTTTTTGGCTATGTATGTAACTGGGTTGGGATGTAACAGAACTGCTCGAACGGAACCCAAACGAAGTGTGTAAGATGTGTAAAATTGCACAGCTGTGTGAAGTTGCACGGTCTGTTTTGTTTATTCTACTGAAAAAGGGAAAATAAAGGCGACTTCCCTCACTACCACTTCTCAACATTTTGACTTTATGCTGCAGTGGAGTTGCTGGTTCACATAGCTATTTTTAAGTAAGCTGCTTTGACAGTTTTAGAAATACTGCATGAAGTTAAATAATAATAATGATGTCAGTGTTTAGCCTCCACACAGTGAGGAATATCAGCACTAGCAATCCTTATACAGAGCTACTGTAGAATATGAAGGTCAATGTTTTGAAGTGTGAAAAATTAACATACATAACTCTGTCACATGCACAAGTTTTATTTGTCAAAAAGTATGTCTTGTGGGTCAGCCTTGTTAAAAATCCCAGGTAATCTTATCAGTAGCAATCAACTCTTACGGTAAGACTCCATATATGATAAGCAAATCATATAGTTCTGTTAATTCTTTTAAGGATTCACTTCTGCAAGGACTGCTCAGCTGCTTGAAGTTAAGCGTGTGCTCACTGCCAGTTCTGAACTGGGCGGGGAGGGCTCATTGCCTTACGCCATGGCATGCATTTTCAGAGGAGGGGTTTTTGGCTGTGTTCTTCCCTGCAGCTACTTTTGCCAATGCCGTTGGGTCATAAACAAGTAGCAGCAAAAAACAGTGACCTTGGTTTCTCTTTGCAATTACAACTATTCCTATGACTTCTATGTGTATTTCTACTAAAAGCAGTACATTTAGTGCCTTTCTCACAGATGAAATTAGCTGATACATTTGAACCGGAAACACTTTATTTTGGGATGTTGACTTTTGGGTGTTTTGACTTAGAGAATTTTAATTGTCTTTTGAAACCTAATCAGTAACAAGGAAGCGTCAGCTCATGCGCATGCGTGTCGTGCCCCGCACAAGGGCCCTTTCGGAGCAGGGAGAAATCCATGCGCTAGCGCTCTCCCGCTGAGCACTGAGCTGTGGCTCACAGCAGTGCTCAGAGGAGAGGACCCACGGTTTGATACCTCTCCAGGAGAGGGGGCAGGTGCAAAATAACCACAACACATCCCAGTCGATGCTTCTTGGCTAAAAGCACCTGAGCAATGACTTCCTCCAGCACCCGGCCTCCCTGGCAGGGGCTCCTTCCACGTACGCTAGAATTTGGGACAGCTCCATCCCAGTATGTGCTCCCAAGAAACCAAACCCGAGCTGCTGGGCTGTGATAGGACATGCTGGCTCATAAACAAGTATTTCAACCTCCAATGTTACTTCTCGTGTTTTTAAAGAAACTTTGAATACATTCAAGGTGAATTTAATAACCTCCTGTAATCCAGAAAAGGCAAAGTACAGAAAAAAATAAAGATCTCACCTGCACTTGTATCTATTATGGTCAACTCATGTTAACAGAATGTTTTGCTTTAATACTTGACTTACATTAATACCTCACATTATTACACGTATGAAGCCAAATATGACGCTAACTTAGTTGCTTACAACCTCAAACCTTACTCCCAATACACATTCCAATAAATTTATTCTGTAAAAACAATACATTTTTTTGTTTTCTTTTTGCTTCCTTTTTTGTTTTTTTGTTGCGGTTTTTTTAGTTTTTTACAGTAAACTCGTCAACTACAAACCTTGAATACGCAAAAGATGTTCCAAGGACAAGCATAACAAGGATTGATAAAACCAGACTAAATATGTTTTCACAATAAAAGCTGGCATAAAAATAAATAAAAATCTCTATTATCACAATAGCAACAATAATGTACACAGAATAATGGATTTGGAATGCTTACTTACTAGTCTAGTTCTATTTCCAAAAGGAAAAAAAAGCCAGAATGACAGCATCCTTTTTTAAGCCTTTCATTGTTTAAAATTGATGTTTTCTTTTGGTTTCCCATAGGGTTCTATATCACAGTAAGCTTAAAAATGGAAAGCATCCAAATGAATGGTTTCAAATTGTGTTGGCATTGGAAAAAATCCTTGTATTAATCTAAAGAAACACAAAAGACTTTCACTAACTCCACATATAGGAACTAAGTCAGATAGTGTACATTACATCATGATTTTGAGAAGTATTAAGAGTATAACTAGCTAGGTACTTCTAATAAGGAAAGGTATTTTATTACATTATTGAACTTGGCGGTGATCTCAACTGAAGAAGAACTTTCATGTTGTAAACTGATCAAAAATCAACAAAGTATGGATATAGGGAAATATAAAATTATGTTTGTGGGTGGAAGATATTGTTGTAGTCTCATGGAGGGGAATAATTTCTAAGATTTTCTTGTTTTAAAAAAATGCTGAATTAGAATGATATAATTTGGAGTTACACCTTTTCTGTCTAGAAAAGGAATCTAAACCATGTTCAAGTATGCGATATCTTCATAAACCTCAGCCACTGGTAAAGGGCAACTTCATGCAACCAAATAATAGGAAAATCAAAAAGTAACCCTTAGAAAAAAGGGTAAAATGTCATTTCTGCAAACACAACAGATAGGAATGTGAATAATGTGCATACAAACTGGGATGCTGTTGATGATACTAATGACCAGATGTGGTGACTCATATCAAATCCAAGAATATTAGACAACCAAACATGTAACCTTCTTGTGTTTTCCCTTAATATTCAGCAGTCATTATGTTGGTTAAGTCTGAAAGAGAGAGAAAGAAAAGACAAAATCACATTTGATGTAAGAAAAGAGCATGCTACAACAAACGCTGTAATTAATGGCTTCTTTGCACTCCTCAAAGCCACAGGTCCAGGTAACCCCCTGGTCTGCTCAAACAGCCTTTTTTTTCTAGAGAAAACCGCTTATGTTACATCAACTAAACACAGCATTATGGACTATTAAAGAACACCGTTTAAAAGGAAACATTTAGGACTTTATTCAAAGTCAGTCATGTATGTGGGTAGGTTTGTGTTTTCCCCAATCATTTAATTACAAATCTCATAGTATACTTCACACACAACCCAAATTTGCCCTTTTCCATGACACTGAATCACTGAGAGGCTTCATGCAAAATCTCAGGCGCTGCTGCACTTGTGAATGCCTCGTGATGAGAAGCCCATTCGTTCAAACAAATGAACTCTTAGCGAGATAAACAGTTTTCATAGCTAATGTATCTGAATTTTGCTTCTGAGAAGGAAACGGTTTGGCTTGAAGTTCACTGTAAGGTGATGACAGAAAAGGAGGAAACTCCCACTTCATGACTGAGTCAAGGCGAGCTCTTGTTTCCCCTGGCATTAGTGGGAACAGGATCAGACTGTCCTCATGTGATCATGGCGAGTGTCTCCAGCTCTTGGTTTCTTCATATTAAACAGAGAGAGCAAAACTCACCTACAAGCACAGGAACAAGCTACTTTTGTCCAACAGGAAGACATGCAACACTACGCAACTACCTACCCCTCAGCAAGACATCCCTCCTCCTTTGTAAAGAACTCAGAGCGCCAATGCTTGCCCACCCACACCCTGACAAACGGAAAGAAACACAACACATGAGCAGTACGAAGGAATTAGTGCTGTACTTGGCGTGATCATCCAAGAAAAAAAACCAACATTAAGGAATAAGGGGAGGGTGGTACAGGTTAAATCCACTGGGGATGATGGACTTTTCATTTTACCTGGGATCCAGAGGAGGGTATGAAAAGGAGACATTTTAGCATCCCTGCACTTGCTCTTTGTTGCCTAAGCTGTCTTCTCTGGCCCATCATAGCTGCTGTGGGTGATGCCCTGGCTATAGCAAACTGTGCTCCTCTATCCATCAGGATAAGAGTTTAGGAGTGCCCACTGAGCAGTGTGGGATCCCAGGCTGGTTGCTGCACCTCTGAGCTATGGGCTGTGTTGTTCTTCTCTCCTGTGACAAGGGGCTTGCAAACAGTAATGGAAACCTGCACTTTCCGTGTGGGAGGTCCTGGTACATCCTGACTAATGACAGGTGATAAGGGTTATTATGAAATGCTCATGCACGTAAGGATGGCTTACAGGAGCTGTTGGAGCCAGCGTAACAACGCACTGCTCCTCCTGAGCACTGCGCTTCACTGACCTCTCTCCTCTTTAAGACTCAGTGAGACTGTACTTCCAGGTGCTTTGGAGATGTGGCTTGGAGGGGTTCGCTGCCATTTCTTTCCTCTCAGAGGGAAGCGCAGACACCCACTAAAACATCTACAAATGACTGGGCAATCAAACCATGCCTTCTGCTGAAGTTCTTAGTGACAGCTGCTAACCCCGCACTGATGGGCAGGATGGGTGGTGAGACTGTCAGTCCCTAGGGCATTCCTCTCAGCTCCAGTGAGGAACGCTGTCCTGTGGTATGAAACCTTTGGATTTATTAACAGCAGTTCCCCTCTGGGCTAAGGACAGAAGATTGGGTAGGCACCGTTCTCACATGGGAAATGTTAATACTTCCACTGCCCACTGTCTCACAGACAGTTCCCTTGGGCCACAGCGTGGCACAGGAGGGACAGCAAAGCACCAGGTATGCAAATCATCCCCTAGGATGTTCACAGTTCCCAGTCCCATCCTCCAGCGTGACACCCAGGTGCCCCCGCAGTCAGCAGCTCTCCCCTCCCCAGACGCAGGCAGCCCCGGGGTCAGCGGGGCCGCGCAGGGACCTCAGCTCCTTGCCCACCCGGGCAACAGGCGCTGCCAGGTTCCCGCGGCAGCCGCTCAGCAAGGATGCGGCAGAGCTGAGCAGTTTCCACGGTCTCCATGGTTTCATGTCTCTTCAGAATCAGATCAGCTCGCATCATCTTTGTTTGAACGAGTCTCTCGGCTTTACCGTAAGATACAGTACAACATGTGTCGCACTGAGCAATGCTACTGCACACAAAAGAAATGGCACAGGATCTGACTGATTTGAGTGAAAAAATTCAGCCATCAATAAAATTGAGGGACAGAGAACTCAGAGAGCAGGGAATAAAGCTAAATCCACAAATTGCCTTGTTTTTTCTGGCACTGAAAATTCCTTTCTCAACAGCATCTGGCAACTGATTCAGCCATGCTGTACTTGAAAAGCTCTTGCTGGATGGGCAGAAGGGTAATTATTTACTTGTTCTGTACAATCATTGTTATTCCATGTTGGTTTGAGGTCAAAATGGTTACAGGATTCAATGTACACAGAGATGCAAAGGGTATATTTCATCTATACCGCCTGCTTTAATCTCAACTTGCATCCAGACATCTATGTTTCTGCTAAGTTATGTCCCATTGCCTTATTTAGCAGTGCTGTTCTCCTGAGCCAGATAAAGGCAGCAGACAACGCACCCCTTAACACCAGAGATTTTTACATTGAAATGTTTACTGTGCAAGAGTTAAATGCATTTTTACAAATGTTATCTTTTTTTTTTGAGCGGCAGATTTTGACTTCCTTCAGATCATTGGAAAAAAACCTCAGACAGAAACACATACTTTGTTTCAGTTTTCTGGGAAAATGCCCACATAAATGCTTTTACATTGAGCAGAGCCCTAAATGCTATGTTTCTAATGTCGATAAAACCCCAAACCTGTTACGCAGCCTAACCAATGTTATTCTTGAGAGGTAAAGAAGGAAGAGCAGAGGAACCAAACATCTCAAAGCCACATCAAGAGGACACAATGAACCTGGGTTTCTCTGGCCAGTTTGGCCATAACACTTGTCTTTCACAGCAGTAACTGGAATTGTTGCTACCCCACAGGAACATCACAACAAAGACCATGTCCTGGACGCAGGCTGTTTTAAATATGTTCTCCCAATTGCAATAGTATCAGATGGCAGTAATTTTGGACCAGATTTTGATCCCCTTATTCATGCTGGCAAGCAGTTGCCTCCACAAATAGATCCACTGACTCCCATGTTAGTAACTGATTGTCAGCGTGAGTAAAAAGATCACAGTCCTTTACCCCACTTTAATATTCAGGCTGTGGCAGGAGCAAAAAAATGTATTTCATTTCCAACAAATCGATTACTTTTCAAAGACTCAGTAAAATCATTCCTCTCCTGAAAGGCAACTACACGCATCCCTACACAAAGAAAGCCTCATTTACCAACACGATGTCCGGACTGTAACTAAAATAATGAATACCAAAAGAAAAACTTGCCACATACCCTCAGTGCTGATCTTAACATTCAAATGCTCTCTAGTGGGGCAGGGACTACAGCCAGCTTTCAAATGCCATTATATGGGTATCCAGAGAGCAAGAGTAAAAAGCAACTTAGGTGTTCAGTGATAAAGATTCAGAGTTACACCAGCCAAGAACCAGACACACAAGTCACCGGAGATTTAAACATGGAATGTAAATCGGCTGCCACGAATTCACTGATTTATAAGCTAATTTTGTACCGCAGAAAGTAAACAACACAACCATGAACACCTTTCCACTGCAATATTCTGGATGTGGTATTCTGAGAAAGCCCAAACAATTTAGCATTTAACTGCAGAGGACTGTCATGGCAAGGTGGGCTCCGTGACTCTGGACGAGCAGACTCTGGGATGGAGTGTCTTAGCTAAAATATTATTCGTTAATTAATATTAGATAACAAAACCCTTGAGCTTCAGGCTTTGCATCTTTCTGGGGAAGAAACCAGTCAAAGGACAGCAATGAGGGAAAG